GAGGGAGAGAGAGAGGGAGGGAGGGAGAGACAGACAGATGGACGTACGGATGGACGGACAGGCAGGCAGGCAGATACTGATCGTTGATTGGCTGCCTCTCGAGCATGCCCCTACCGGAGGCGAGGGCGCGGGAATGAGCCTGCAACCCAGGCACGTGCCCTTTGACCCCCTCGGTTCCAGGCCGGCGCTCTAACCATTGAGCAACCCAAGCCCGGGGTTCGCCTCAGCTTTTACTGCTGTGCACCCACTGTGTCCGCTTCTTTTTTCTTCTTCACTCCCCATGTTTGACGTTTTATTTTGTTCTGCAGCTGTTCCACCGGCTTCTCCTTAAGGCAGGCTGAAAAGAGAGTGGTTTTAGCCGAGACCCTGCAGGAACAATGGGTGTAACTCTGCAGGTGGCAGCCAACAAGCGGCCCTGGCTGGCTGATCACCCCACTTTGCTGGTAACATTAAAAAAAAAACCAAAAAAAACCCCACAGCACAGAGGCCCTCCTTGGCAAGCAGCGTTTCTTTAAAAATAAAATAAAAGTAATAAAATAAAATAAAAGGCAGTAATTACCGTTCTACCTTGCCTGAACGTTTGGTAGGAGTACAAGACCTTCCCCATCGCCGTGAATGCAGGGAGGTTTGCGTGTGGCTGAGGACGGAGGATAAAAGCAGGCTGCTGGCTTTCCCCGCCCGACGAGGGCCCGTGACTCTCCTGGATCGTCACGTTCTCAGCACACTGCCCCGAGTGCGTGCACCAGACACCGCGCGTGTGCGCGGTTCCGAGACCCGCTCCGCTTTCATCCTGCGTGTTTCCGTGTCCGACTGCCTGCTGTTCATACGTGTTCTTCTTTTTTTTTTAATTTATGAATTTTTTTACAGAGAGGAAGGGAGAGAGAGAGGGAGAGAGATCAGCCAGCTGCCTCCTGCACACCCCCTATCGGAGATATGCCCGCAACCAAGAGGCAGCTGATAGATGTTTCTACCTCTCTATCCCTCTCTCTTCCTCTCTGTAAAAATTCAATAAAATGTATTAAAAAGAAGAAGAAGAAGAAGAAGAAGAAGAAGAAGAAGAAGAAGACGTTTAAGTTTACAAAATGTGGCTGTCCAAGGAAATCGCAATCGTCGTCCTGTTGATATTTGGCTCTGCTGACGAATGAGTTTGCCGACTGTTGGTCCGGTTCTTAGAATTTGTTGGAGCTGGTTTGTGCCGAGGGGGACCTGGTATTCCCGGCCCGGTTGGAAGAACAGTATGTGGGAAAAGAGGCGGTGAGAGCCGCGCTGCCCCAGCGGGAACGGACAGCCTGTTTTTCTCGCAGGGCAGAATCTCACCACCTCATAACGTTCTGAGCGGGAGCTGGCAGCCGTCGAGCGTGGACCGTCGCTGCCAGACGATATAAATAATCTGGCCAGGAAGCACACATGTCCAAGAAATGCTCTTGGAAAATGATGGGTTTCCCTCGGGATGATGGGAAAACCAGGCTTGCTTTCCCGCCAGCGGCTATTTTTGAAGCAGGAGCAGCATCCGCTGGTAATAAGGGTGGTTTCGCTTGGCATCCAGGGTACCTGAGTCTCACATGCGTAGGTGTCTCAACTTAAAAAAAATAATAAATTAAAAAAATATATATATATATTATAATTGATTTTTTATAGAGAGGAAGAGAGAGGGATAGAGAGCTAGAAACATCGATGAGAGAGAATCATCCATCAGCTGCCTCCTGCACACCCCCTACCAGGGATGTGCCCACAACCAAGGAACATGCCCTTGACCGGAATCGAACCTGGGACCCTTCAGTCCGCAGGCCGATGCTCTCTCATCCACTGAGCCACACCGGTTTCGGCTTTATTGATTTTTTTTTATAGAGAGGAAGGGAGAGGGATAGAGAGTTAGAAACACCCATGAGAGAGAATCATTGGTCAGCTGCTTCCTGCACACCCCCGACTGGGGATGTGCCCTCCACCAAGGCACATGCCCTTGACCGGAATCGAACCTGGGACCCCTCAGTCCGCAGGCCGACGCTCTATCCACTGAGCCACACCGGTTTTGGCTAGATTGCATGTTGAGGCCGGTTTGTGATCTCGGGTTAGAAACGCTTACGAGGCAGCTGTCTAGGTGGGTTTGGCGCGTGGGAGACGCGAGTGGAGCTTTGGAACAGGTTTCGGCCGCACCCTGTGCGTGGGACCCTTCACGGTGGCGGTGGGTGTGCTGCTGAGCGGCGGGGGGAGGGATTCCTCCCTCCGCCCCGTACACACGGGTTACGTCCAGCCACGCATCGTCTCCCGCCCATTCAGCCGAAAACCCACCGAGCGGGGATCGGGGTGAATGTGGGGAAACAACACACTTTGCCCGTCTTTTGTCTTCTCGTTCACGAAGCTGTGAGAGCGTGTGTGACGTTACATCGTTCATATCCCCGTTGGGAAGTCGGGGAATAAATTAGCTCCTTTGTGGAGGGAAGGCTGCTCCGGAGTTTACCTCCCCATCCTACTCCCGACAGTTAATTGTGAAAAATTTAACACAGGAGGACCGTGGGAAGATGTATTCACTAAAAATCTCTATAGTCACAGCCTTGATTCTGTATTAACAATTGAAGATTCATTAAAAAAAAATTAAAAAAAATATATATATATTATTGATTTTTTTTTTACAGAGAGGAAGGGAGAGAGACAGAGAGTTAGAAACATCGATGAGAGAGAAACATCCATCAGCGGCCTTCTGCACACCCCCGACTGGGGATGTGCCCGCAACCGAGGTACATGCCCTTGGCCGGAATCAAACCCAGGACCCCTCAGTCCGCAGGCCGATGCTCTGTCCACTGAGCTAAACCAGTTTTGCTTTATCACATATCTAACCATACAAACACACACACACACACACACACACACACACACACAACTTATTTACCCTGATGCACTTATTTTTATTTATTTATATTTTTAAAATATATTTTATTGATTTTTTTACAGAGAGGAGGAGAGAGGGATAGAGAGCTAGAAACGTCGATGAGAAAGAAACATCGACCAGCTGCCTCCTGCACACCCCCTACTGGGGATATGCCCGCAACCAATGTAAATGCCCTTGACCGGAATCGAACCCGGGACCCTTCAGTCCACAGACCGACGTTCTACCGCTGAGCCGAACCGGTTTCAGCCCTGATGCACTTATTATGCTGTCCAGAAGCGCTGGAGCAGCTGGGGTGGTGCAAAATGCCTGCGTGGTCACAACAACGCAAGTGTCTCGCCCAGCCCCTGGCTGCTCGGTGCCTGTGTGTGCAAATGAACCCTCCCCCTTTGCTGGGTTAATTAGCATACTCACTCCTGATTGGCTGGTGGGCGTCGCGGAGGTACGGTCATTTAGCATGTTACTCATATTAATGTAGATGATGATGATTATTATTATTATAATTAAAGCCATTTCGTATTTCTTAGAAACTTGAGTGATAGGTAACTGTGTGGTCTCCATGGGAGACTTTGCCTTCCTACACATTTGGAACGGCTGCCTCCCAGATGGTCTTGCCTCGCGGACAAGCGTGTGTGCTGCCGTTATTTGTGTCTGTTGTTTGTCAGCGACATTCACAGTGTTTCCCTGCGTCCCTCCCTCTGTGCGCCGTGACAGCACCTCCTTGTTACTAGCAGGCGGCTTCTCCCTTCCTTCTTACTCACAAGCTTTTTTTGTTTTGTTTTGTTTTGTTTTGTTTTTCACGAAATAGAAGAGGAGAAAAGCTAGTTAGTATTTCATAAATGTGCCTGATAGCAGAAGCCCCCGTGGCTCATGGGACCTGTACTGGTCATAGCAGAGGTGGGTTAACGGAACTCCTTCAGGCTTGGTGCCCTTAAAGGGGACGCAGACCTTTGCCTGCATTCGCCTGCTTTACACCGTCCGTGTTCATCCTAAAGCTTCTTTTCCTGTTCGCCCGGGGATGGGAAACCCACGTTATTATTTTCTTTCCTAAAGTGATGCCCGTCTCTTAGCTGCAAAGTTTCAGCGTTGGCTTCTGTAACGCGGAGAGAGAACGTGAGGCCTGAGAGAGAACGTAAGAACTCCTTTTTATATTTGTCCCACAGTTTATTTATTTAAAAATTTTTTTTAAATAAATTAATTTTTAAAAACATATTTTGACTTTTTACAGAAAGGAAGAGAGAGGGATAGAGAGCCAGAAACATTGATGAGAGAATCATCGATCAGCTGCCCCCTAAACACCCCCCACTGGGGATGTGCCCGCAACCAAGGTACATGCCCTTGACCGGAATCGAACCCAGGACCCTTCAGTCCGCAGGCCGATGCTCTATCCACTGAGCCAAACCGGTTTTGGCTGTCCCACAGTTTTCTTTAGAGACCCCACCTTTATTAGGAACTTGCTGGAACATTCACTTCCTTCCATAGAAGTTCTGTATACCCACATGGCACAGTTACAAGCACAGTCTCGATGTTGGATCCAGGTCTCGATAGGTAGGATTGCATTCGATGGAGTCAGGTACTGAACAAGTGTTGAAAGCTTTGACAGGTAACGATTAGTGAGTGACGGCTCTGAAAGGAAGTTGCTATTTCCAAAGACTCACCTTTATTGCGACCTCGATACATAGCACCTCCCGGAATAGCCGAGCCGTCTTCAATGTGCTTGACCACCAGGACGCTTTCCATCCACTTGGTACCGGAGAAAATAGAATTTGGCAACGATCCCCGTTCAGGAAATTCGATTGTATTCAGGAGTGAGTTACTGGACCAAGTCACAGAATTGTAAGGCCGTGTTGTGGTCGTCATATTTTTAAACAGTCACCTCTCTCCAGCCTTCGGATGCCATATTTTATTTTTTTTCTATTTTAATTTAAAAAAAAATAGGTATTTTATTGATTTTTTACAGAGAGGAAGGGAAAGGGATAGGGCCATCGTTCCCTTGTGGTTTCTAGCGCCTGATGGTTGAGGGACGGCCAGTCGGCCAACTCTGATATATGCACGTAGCCTAATTTTAAACGTCTCATGTTTGCTCTTTTTCTTTCCCCTCTGCTTGTCCTAACAGTGAACAGAGTATTTGTCAGGCACGCGCGGCTGTGATGGTTTACGATGATGCCAATAAGAAGTGGGTGCCGGCCGGCGGCTCCACGGGGTTCAGCCGAGTCCACATCTACCACCACACGGGCAACAACACCTTCCGCGTCGTGGGCAGGAAGATCCAGGACCACCAGGTGAGTGTCCGGCGGCGATCCCCAGGCCGTCTCACGTAAGGTGACCAGCCGTCCCGCTTTCGGCGGGACAGTTCCACTTTTTAACCATTTTTGTCCTGCGTCTCACGGCGTTGTAAAAAAGTCCCGATTTTTGGAAGGACCAAAGACTGGCACGGGTGGGGCGGGGCTGTGTGATTTCACGCACTGGGCTTCTAGTTTAAAAATAATTATAAAGCCGAAACCGGTGTGGCTCAGCGGATAGAGTGTCTGCCTGTGGACTGAAAGGTCCCGGGTGGGAAGTGTGCAAGAGGCAGCTGATCGATGTTTCTCTCTCATCGATGTTTCTGACTCTCTATCCCTCTCCCTTTCTCTCTGTAAAAAAATTAATAAAATATATTAAAAAATAATAATAATTATAAAGACGCCTGCACAAGGCAGGCAATTTCCAAATGAAAACATTGACTTTGTTTTTTTAAATATATTTTATTGATTTTTTTACAGAGAGGAAGGGAGAGAGAGAGCTAGAAACACCGATGAGAGAGAAACATCGATCAGCTGCCTCCTGGCATATCCCGCTACTGGGGGTGTGCCCGCAACCAAGGTCCATGCCCTTGACTGGTATCGAACCTGGGACCCTTGAGTCCACAGGCCGACGCTCTATCCACTGAGCCACACCGATTAGGGCGAAAACATTGAGATCTTTATCCATAAGATAAGTAAGCTGTCCGGTGACTTTATAGTTTTTGACAAATAGAGTGTTTTTTAAAATGTTTGTAAATTTGGAAACACTTCTAAATAATCCGCGACACTCATACGAAAGCATTCTGAAGATTAGAAAATGTTTAGAAAGAAAGTGCTTAGCCCTAAGTGACAAGATCTTATATATAGGAACCTGTGGGACGTCTAAGCTGTCCTTCGCTGGGCAAAATCCTAATGACATATAATGAGCTTTAGGGGGAAGCAGAAGGGAACACTAAGAATAAATAGAACTTGTTAACACAGAAGCTGCCCTACTGAACAGAAAAATTGGCAGCATCAAGCAGGAAAAAAACAAGTTATAAATAAATAATATTAGGATTGGAAAAGAGATGTAGATATGCTAAGAAAATAAGTTATGGGAAGATATTTTGAATAGCTTTATGCCCATCACCAGTCAGGGCACCTTGTGTCAGTTTTGAAAGAGGAAACTGAGAAACTAAGCAGGTTTGGGGCCGAGTCAGGGGACTAGGAGAGCCGGCATGGGAGTGAGGCCCTGCGAATGAGGGAGGGTAGCCGCACAGGCCATGAGAGGAAGGGAGAAGGTATGGTTTGGGACCCAGAGTCCCTCCCATATGTTCGGGAGAAGTTTGACTCAGAATTAGTCCGGCCCTCTCCATTACTTTTGGATGAAGGTGATTTAAGACTGTCCACTACCCTAGCTGTTTGCCAAAAGCCAATGTACATTTCCCCCGGGAGGGTTTTGGGGAAAATATCATCATCGTAGGCCTCAACATTTCCTTAAAATTGTCCACATGCAGTGTCTGGCACTCAGTCAGAATACCCAGGCTCACGAGGAGAGAGGAGAAAGAAACAGCAACAGACAGACAGGCCCCTGGGATCTAGTTAATGGAATGATCAGGAAGTGACTGTAAAGTAACGACGCTTAGTACATTCAGGGAAATACAAGACAGATTGAGGATTTCAGCAGAGAACTGGATCCTTGAAAAAAAAAAAAAAAAAGAAGAACAAAATGGAAATTTAAGGCCTGGGGCTGGGATGGGTTGGAACAGATGCAGGGGGAACAAAGGGGACATATAATACTTTCAACAATAAAGATTAAAAAAAACAAAAATCAGCTGAAACCGGTTTGGCTCAGTGGATCGAGCGTTGGCCTGTGGACTGAAAGGTCCCAGGTTTGATTCCGGTCAAAGGCATGTACCTTGGTTGCAAGCACATCCCCGGTGGAGGGTGTGCAAGAGGCGGCTGATCGATGTCTCTCTCTCATCTATGTTTCTATGTCTCTATCCTTCTCTCTTTCTCTCTGTAAAAAAATCAATAAAATATATACTTTCTAAAAAATAATAAATAAATAAATCAAAATATAAAATAACTGCTGTTAATAACTCAGAGGTGGTGTTTATTTGTGTGTGTGTGTGTGTGTGTGTGTGTGTGTGTGTGTTTAACAACCCATTAGAAATAGCTAAAAAGAATTAGTAAACCGAAATAGAGGTCAGAAAAAAAAAAATTCAGCCTGAAGCTAAGATAATCAGAGAGAAATATGTAACCCACGAGGAGCGTAGGGGAGACATAAGGAAGTACAGTGAGAAGGTGGGTAGAGTCTGTTCCGTCAGAGTCCCAGAGGAGAGGAGAGACGGGGCCAGGACAGGGACTGAGGAGAGAATGAACACGCATTTTCTTTCTTTTCTTTTTTTAAAATATATTTTATTGATTTTGTACCGAGAGGAAGGGAGAGAGATAGAGTTAGAAACATCGATGAGAGAGAGTCATCGACCAGCTGCCTCTTGCACACCCCCCACTGGGGATATGCCCGCAACCAAGGTACATGCCCTTGACCGGAATCGAACCCGGGACCTTCCAGTCCCCAAGCCGACGCTCTATCCATTGAGCCAAACCGGTTTCAGCTGAACACGCATTTTCAAAAGGGATGGAATCAGTACCAAGAAAACCCTGTAGAAACCCCATCGTGTTGAAATTGTAAACGAAATCCAAGGCGAAACTCTCCAGCTGTCCTTGGACATCCGATACCTTCCAAGTAGCAACCATCAACGGTCAGCTGACTTCTCCATAGAATCCAGCGCTGGGAGGCAGGGAGCTTCAAATGACTGTAAGGAAGTGAGTGACCACTTAACATTTCCTACCTAACACAAATATTCTTAAAAAAATGAGGGTGAGCCGAAACCGGTTTGGCTCAGTGGATAGAGTGTCAGCCTGTGGACTGAGGGGGTCCTAGGTTCGATTCTGGCCAAGGGCATCATGTATCTCGGTTGCCAGCACATCCACGGTGGGGACTGTGCAGGAGGCAGCTGGTTGATGTTTCTCTCTCATCGATGTTTCTGACTATCCCTCTTCTTTCCTCTCCATAAAAAATATCAGTAAAATATTTCTTTAAAAAAAAAAAAATGAGGGTGAAATAAAGATACTTCCTGACAGAAAAAAAATGGAAAGACTTCCTCGCCAGATCTACAGTGGAAGAAATTCTTCAGGTTCAAAAAAAACGGTCCCAACAAAATCTTGAGGAGGGCAGAGGACTTAAAAAGCACCAGAAAGCATATAAGTGTTGATCTTATGGACTGTACAAAACTAAAAATAGTGCTTTATGGGGTCTAAAATACATGGAGCATGGAAATCCTATACAATAAAAGTCTAATATGCTAATGGACGGAATGGTGGATGGTGGAATGACTGGTTGCTATGATGCGTGTTGACCACCAGGGGGCAGACGCTCGACACAGGAGCTTCCCCCCTGGTGGTCAGAGGTGGTGTCACAGCGCTAAGGGTGAATGAGTGAATACTGCTTCAATCAGGATTTTTGACTTTGTGAGTGTTGCCATGTGTCAGCTTGACTCTAAATAAAGAATTTCTGTCTTTCAGGTGGTGATTAACTGTGCCATTCCTAAAGGGTTGAAGTACAATCAAGCTACACAGACCTTCCACCAGTGGCGAGACGCTAGACAGGTGTACGGTCTCAACTTTGGCAGCAAAGAGGATGCCAATGTCTTTGCGAGTGCCATGATGCATGCCTTAGAAGTGTTGAATTCGCAGGAAGCAGGTAAGGGGCCCTCGGCTGACTTGTTTTCTTGAACTGAAGTGCCATCTCTCTCCGATAACACAGACCTTTTCTGACCAACTTGTAAATCATGCATGTATGTGAAGTTATTCTTGAACTTCTCGTGTTCTTTGCAGAGATGTGGACTTTTTATTGGTTGATGTAAAGATGGATTCCGGAAGGATAGTTGTATGAGTTTGGTTCATTGGTCATTTTTTTTTTAATCATATATTTATTGATTTCAGAGAGGAAGGGAGAAGGAGAGAGAGAGAGAGAGAAACATCCATGATGAGAGAGAATCATGGATGGGCTGCCTCCTGCACGCCCCATACTGGGAATTAAGCCCGCAATCCAGGCATGTGCCCTTGGCCGGAATCGAACCTGGGACCCTTCAGTCCACAGGCTGATGCTCTATCCACTGAGCCAAGCTGGCTAGGGCTTCATTGGTCATTTTTAAATGCTTTCGTTGGAAAGCGACCTAGATCTGTTCCTCCTCCTTTAAAACCTCAACTTCGGTGGCAAGGACGAGGCCCAGAGACGATGCAGTAATCAGAATTATGCCCATTTGTCTTCACCTCAGATTTTATGAAGTGACCCGTGGTTTCTGAAGCATGTTTTTTAGCCACTACGGAGGCCTTGAACCTCAAGTAGGACGAGGTCCCCTGCATCCCAGTCATGAACTATTTGATTCTGAAAGTTGTTTCACAATTTTAGGAGCGCCTTCAGGTGGTATTAGCTGTGAATTGCATCTCCCCTGACTGCATGGTGGTTAGACAGCAATGTAGAAATAATACACTTAATAAAAATAAAAAAAAACCTTTAGGTTTTAAGACTGTATATGTGTCAGAGAGGGACTCTATTTTTGTTTAAAGAACAGAAAAAAGAAATACACCAATGTGTTTGTTCTCTTTGGGGAGATCACTTTCATTATCAGCAAACAAATGCTATATATAAAACAATGACAACTGTGATTACTCTCGCCTGCACCGTGTATTTCATAGTGACCCATAGGACATAAATATTCCATGAACAAAATGTATGTATTTTTTAAAGGAATGACTTCTATACTCAGTTGACATTTTGTGGAAGGCAGAGAATTTTGAAACCCGTTACAGACGCATTCAATTTTATTTATTCCTTCCCTCGTTGTAAAAAGGATAGAAACTTCCAGCCCATTTGCTAATTTATTTCAAATGTGAATTTCGCTGCAAGAAGGCATTTTTGGAAGCTTGCTGGAAGTCATGTGTTGTGCCTATCGATGTTTTTCATTAGATCTCCTTTGAGCAAATTAACATCTCTACAAATAATTTGTGCACAGCTCTCATATGTTATCTGGTTTGAGAAGATAAGTGACTGAACTTCTCCTGGTTTGTCTGTAAGCCCAGAAAGATAGCATAGAAACGTCTGTACGTACGCAGTCTTGCGTGTAGATGACCCGAAGTCACTACTTATCCTACAGGCGTCAATATTGGATCAGTCTTCTGTCGTAGAATTGCTTTTCTGTCGCCCTAGTGTTATCATGGAGAAGAACCTAGAATTTAGTTCTTCATATCTTAACTACATAGTGAAAAAAAAATTAAAGGACCGAAGTTGAATCAGTATATGTATGACCAGCGTATTTGGCTTTCCCGTGTCTGGAACAAGGTAGCTTTTTAATTTCTAAACCTTCAGAAGAGTACTCACTACTATTAGGAGCGAAGTGTTACTGATGTAAAGTAGTTAAAATTGTTTAGTCGTCAGTTGTTGTTTTTTAACCAAATGGAGAGGTTTTTTTTTTTTTTATCTGTCAGGATGGAGTAATACAGATGTGCTTTCAACATGAACATGCTAATGCATGTTTTTTTCCTCTGGCCTTGATATTTTTAAGTAAATGAGTCTTAATGGGGAGAGACTCAATTACATTTCTCTGTGATTTCCACGTTGTACGACATTCGGCAAATGGGAAAATCACCCACCCTCACTGGCTACACAAGCATTTTGAAAAGGCAAAAAAAAAAAAAAAATGTTCTAGATTCCTCTTAGATTATTTGGAGCCACAGGGCCCTGCTCTGTCACAACCTCAGCCTGTCCTACTGTGTGCTGAAGACAGAGAGAGAGAGGGGGGTGAAGAAGTTGGTCCATCCTTGTCATCTCCGTGAGTCATGGCCCAAGTCCATGGTCGGCAAACTGCGGCTCGCGAGCCACATGCGGCTCTTGGGCCCCCTGAGTGTGGCTCTTCCACAGAATACCACGGCCTGGGCGAGTCTGTGTGGAAGACGTGGCATTAGGAGACGTTGAAGTTTAAAAAACGTGGCTCTCCAAAGACATGTCGATTGTTGTCCTGTGGATCGTTGGCTCTGTGGACTCATGAGTTTGCCGGCCCCTGGCCCAGGTCATTGGCAAAGAGGCTTTTGGATTCATCGCTGTTTCATGAGAGAAAACAAAGCCGTGGGTGGGCGTTTTTCATAGTCTGATCTCTTTAGAAAACGACGTTTCCTGAATTACTGTAGGTGAAACACTAATTTCTGATTAAAAAAAAAAATTGTATTGATTTCAGAGAGGAAGGGAGAGGGAGAGAGAGAGAGATAGAAGCATCAGGGATGAGAGAGAATCATTGGTTGGCTGCCTCTTCCAAGCTCCCTACCGGGGATCCAGCCCACAGCCCTGGCCTGTGCCCTCGACCGGAATCGAACCCCGAGGGACCCTTCCGTCTGCAGGCCGACGCTCTATCCACGGAGCCAAACCAGCCAGGGCCGGTTTCTGATTTCTGATGCCATTCACTGGTTTGGAAGTGGAAGCCTGGGAGGAGATCAATGCTAAGAATCAGAACGGTCCATGGGGAAGGACTGGCGTTTTTCTGTAAGAATCCATGGAGCTCTACCCCAGGCTCATCTTACAGGCCCCCTCCCCCCACCTACACAAACATACCGAGATCTGGGCCCTCCCACCGCTGTTGGCTATGGGCTCCCAGCCAGTTCCTGGCTAAGGCCACCCATTGTCCGCCTGCCAAAGCCAAGTTCAAAAAGGTGCACCTCCGTGTCTCCTCCCTGAACAAATACCCCGTTTCCCCGAAAATAAGACAGTGTCTTATATTAATTTTTGCTCCCAAAGATGCTCTAGGTCTTATTTTCAGGGCATGCCTTATTTTTCCACGAAGAAGAATACGGCACACATTTATTGTTAAATGAAAATAAAGGAAATGTATTACCTGTATACGGTACGGTAGTGCGGTAGTTGTCAACACAAACCAGACAAACTGTGAATCTTACAGGATCAAGAATTGACTCATTTATTCAATGACAATCATGTCATCATCTCCTGGAACATCATCATCACAATCCAATTCCTGGATTTCCTGGTGAATTTCTTGTGACTCCATTTCTTTCAGAATCGGTGGACCAGATCTCTCGTGTTTAGCAATAGCATTCTGAGACAGAGCCTGGGGGGGGTGCTTATTTTTGGGGGGATGCCTTATATTTCACTCAGAAGGAAACCTGTAAGTAGGTCTTCTTTTCGGGGAAACACGGTAACAGGCCCAACACGTCTGCGACCAGAAGCGAGAGAGACACTTGCTCGTGGCGATAAAGCAGCTGCAGATACTCGCCTCTCCTGCTTCTGAGTGTCTTCCCGCTTTCTAAAACCATTTCCTTTTTCATAGCGAATTGCTTCTTTTTATTGTGCTATGAGGGGGGGGGTCACGTCCATATTGCCCATTGAACGTTGGTTGGTCCTTGGTGATTTTCAGACTTTTTAAAAAAAGTCACGGGCACTTTTGTTCCAAGAATGTTTTCAGAAGTTGGGCGCATAAAATAGGGAGAGACAAAAAGGGGGATCTTCTCTGGGTGATGGGGAGGGTGTGGGGGCGAGTCCATGGCCACTGAGGCACGTGGGCGTCTCCAGAGCAGGATTTGAACGCCACCAACCTATCTTTTTTTTTTTTTTTTTTTTTTACCAAAACCAATAATTCCCCAATTCTCTCTCCCTCACTCCCTTCCTTCCTAAATCCTCTAAATCCTCAAACACGTTCTTTAATAAAATGAGTGAAAAAGCAGCGTCCTTTGGGCTCCTTGTGCTGACCTTTGCCAGGTGCTCCATACGCGTTTACTATTTCCATTTCTCAGGGAAAAAGGGTGGGTGGCAGACCTGTTTGCCTTGGCTTTATTTTTTTAACTCGCTGCGCAGTCGCCGAACAGCCTGGAAAGTACGGGAGGTACCAACTCCAGTGAGTTATATTTGGCATTTAAGAAACAAAAATCACATGTTGTACCATTTTTGTATTTTTTTTTTTAGGAGTCGAAGTAGTGTTTTTCCTTTCATACCAAATGCTCCCAGTTTATCTGTTTCCTTTTGCCTAATGGAGCGGTGGGCTAGATTTTGAACAAGCGCATTCAGAAGGCTTTGTTCAGACTGACATTCGGGATTTCCGTGTTATTTATCCAGGACATGGAGAGCCTTGGTGCAGGTGACAGGGAAGGGTTACATAGATGATAAAGTCCGTCCTTGCGGTGATGGGTAGAGGTCACCATGCTTCATTTTGGAAAAGGTGGACGTCATTTGAAGGCAGGAAATGATTTTTTTTTTTTAATATATATTTTTATTGATTTTCTTACAGAGAGGATATTCTTACAGATGTTCCTATCTGAAGGGTCCCAGGTTCGATTCCGGTCAAGGGCATGGACCTTGGTTGCGGGCACATCCCCGGTGGTGGGTTGTGCAGGAGGCAGCTGATCGATGTTTCTCACCGATGTTTCTAGCTCTCTATCCCTCTCTCTTCCTCTCTGTAAAAAAATCAATTAAAAAATGTTTACAAAAAAAAACCCCAGAAAACAAACAAAAAACTATTATAAAATTTAAAATATTTTTAATTTCACAAAGTACACGTGGGCACCGTCGCTTTAGACAGAAGTTGCTTCTCGGTGTGGCTGGGGAGGTGCCTGAGCTTGGGTGCGGTGAGCGGGAGGAGGAGGGCCGGGCGCCAGGCTCCCATGGAGAGGCAAGCTCTGTCCTGGTGTAACTGGGACAGG